TTTGACACTATTGATCGCTATATGCTTCTTAATTTTTTTCCCTCCCTCTTTTCCGTGTGTGTGTGTGTGTGTGTGTGTGTGTGTGTGTGTGTGTGTTTATGGTTCCTCCTCCTCAATTTTCTAGAGTTTGTTTCTGGTTTATTTTCATTAGTTAATCATGAAACATTTATATAAATTATTCCTTGTATCTTCACTAGTTTAATTGTCCCTGATAAAAATTATATAATGTGAACATATGTTCATATATTAGTAATCACATTAAGTGTAAATAGAATGAATAACCATTAAAGGATGGAGATGGTCAGATTCAACAAGACATCTCAGGATACTAAAAAACTCTGGAATGAATTGGTATCTTCAGAGCATAGTCCCTTATTACAAATGTAATACAATTAAACATCATTGATAAAAATATAAGTAAGTAAAGCAATAGATTTGAAAATATAAAAACACACTTTACAATATCTCCTACATAAAGAAAATAAAAAATCAAAATCATAATAAAATTGATTGAACTATAATTAAAATATTATTAATTATAATTATGATATAGTGATAGTAATCATGACTTTGGAACCAATGCAGAAATAAACAAATGATAGGGGGGGAAAAACAGATTCATACCTATATTGACACTAGATACATGAGATCTGTGGGGAAAGATGGATGGCTTAATAGAAAATTGTTTTTCCCATTAGAAAGAAAAGGTTGGATTTTTATTTCATATGGTGCAGAATAGTTCCAGGACCTAAATATTAAAAGCAGAACTTTTACATTTTTATAAGAAACATACAGGGATTTAAGGACTTGACAAAAGTAGGTTTATAGTTATGAATACTTACAACACAATTTATTCTTGTATTATTATTCTATTATTTATTTGTGTTATTATTATTCTTGTTATTTTGTATTCTTACTTATGATTCATCTTTTAGGTAATGATGGCAGGCAATTTAACCGACTTACCCACTGCTGTAATTATGATATATTGTATAGCTTATGATCTTGATTAGTATTCTTATTGAATCTGTGTTTTAAAAAAATACTCCTATATAGAAAATATAAAGAATTTCTGTAACTCGATAAGAAAAAGGCAACCTTAAGAAAACTGAGTAAATGAAATGAACAGAAAATCCATAAGAGAAAACTAGAGTATTTAATAAACATAAACATTTGTTAAATTTCACTAGTTAACAGGGAAATCCAAATGGTAGCACTATGAAACATTTCACACCAAGCATCATAGCTAACATGAAGTATTCTCTTTACCCCACGTTGTAAAGAATCAAGAAAGGTTATACATTGCTAGTGGGTATATACATGTATACACTTCTTAGGATTAAATTTGACTATATCTTGTTATTTTGAAGATGCACATGCAACACATCCCAGTAACCCAACTTATAATTTACTCTGGAGAAGTAGTGGGCATGCTCCGGCCCATGGGCTAAATCCTGTCAGCTGCCTATTCTTGCAAACAAGGATGTGTGGGAACATACCACTCTCGCCCATTTACGTGTTCCCTGTGGGGACTTTCACACAATAGCAGAATGGAATAGTTGTGAAACTGACCATATGGCTGCAAAGCCTAAAACGTTTACTCTCTGTGCCATTATTGAAAAAGTTTGCTGACCTTTGCTCTAGACTAACTGTTACACTTTTGTACTAAAATCATGGTGTAACAATTTTTATAGCAGTATTGCTTACAATAGTGACAAACTGGAAATAGAAAAATATTTAAGAGAAAGGAGTAAAATGAATATTGTGAAATATTATTACAATAGAATATTGTGAAATTTCCTATGTAGCAGTGAAAATGAAAGTATGATGAGATGTATTGGCATGAATAAATCCCAACTATGTAATTGAAAAAAGTGAGTGTCAGAAAAATATACACAGTATAGTCCCATTTCTGTAAACGTTAAAAATGTGACACATGACCCATAGATGTGCATGGTAAATGGGTAAGTACATGTATGGGTGCGATACACCCCAAATTCGAGAAAATGATTTTCTTAGAGACTAAGGCAGTGTGATTGAGATGAAATAAACAGGAGAGGGAAGGCTTCAATAACATCTGTGATGACATTTCTGCTGCTGATGGTTAAAAGGTATTTGTAATATTCTTTTTTTTAAATATATTTTATTGATTTTTTTACAGAGAGGAAGGGAGAGAGATAGAGAGCTAGAAACTTCGATGAGAGAGAAACATCGATCAGCTGCCTCCTGCACATCTCCCACCGGGGATGTGCCCGCAACCCAAGTACATGCCCTAGACCGGAATCGAACCTGGGACATTTCAGTCCGCAGGCCGATGCTCTATCCACTGAGCCAAACCGGTCTTGGCTGTAATATTCTTTATACTCTTGTATGTCGGAAGACAAAGTAAAATAATACCAACATTTTAAAAGATGATTTCAATTGTGAAAAATTATTTGAGAAGGGGCATTCATGCAGTCCTAATCTTTAAAGAAAAAGCTCTTTTGGGTTCATTACTAAATGACCATACAAATGAAAGCCATGGCCCCTTTCTTGACAATTTGCATTCCCGTTGGGAGGCAGAGGAACAAATGTATAATCTTGCCATAATGGAATGCTTTATGAGTAATAAAGATAGCTAGAGACCTGACCATGTATTTCCAGGCATTCAAGGGACCGGGAGTGTGGTTGTGAGTAAAGCTCTTGGTTTGGGAGGATAAGGAATTTGCTCTATTTGATGAGTGGTAAAGTGTGAGGATCATTAGAATTACCTAGAGAACAGCATGGATGTGCCTGGTGAAAGTGGGAGAAAAAGGCTCAGAGCGCACTGGGTATGTTGGCATGGTTCAACTTCGTTCACTGTGAATGCTCAGAAACAAATGGTGTTGCCCGGCTGTCGAGTCTCAGTGGTTGAGCATCGATCTGTGAACCAGGAGGTCAAGGTTTGATTCCCAGTCAGGGCACATGCCCGGGGATGACCGGGTTATGAGCTGGATCCCCAGAGGCAGCCTATCAATGATGATCTTTCATCATTGATGTTTTTATCTCTCCCTTTCCTTTCCTCTCTGAAATCAATAAAAATATAAGAACAAAACAGGAAAACAAATGATGTTCTTGAATATTTTTTTAAAAAGATCGTCTAAAATTTACTGTTTGGAAAACTTACGTGTTTCTTATGTGGTACGTCTGTAGGAGATGATTGCTATAGCAGTGAGTTCTAAAACCAATAAAACATACCATCATTTTACAGAAATGGGAAAATGGAATTGGAAATTTTATAAGATGTTAAATACATTATTTACCTGGAAAAGTAAATGTCATAGGGATTCACATTCTGTTTAATTTTAGGGAACCACAGTTGGAAAGGAACACCTGTGTAAAAACTTATCATACCCAAGGACTCATTTCTTAATCTAGTTTTTTGTTGTTAATTGAATTTCATCTAACAAAATTAAACCTTTAAAACAATGACTAAACCATGGAGAGTGAAGGTGGTTCGATTATGAATTTTCCTCCTAAAAATTAGGAGCACAGCCCAGAGCCACTTTCATGACCTATTCATCTGCCATCACCTGTGCCTCACTCTTATTCTCTCCATCCATCCATTGTTGACGGATTTCTGAGAATCATTTCCTTTCATTTGCTTGATTAAGATGTGCACATATGATTTGATATTTTCATAAGTATTTGACCTGTTTAATCTGCCCTTTTTAAACCATGTTTTTATTGAGCCTCCTATACACACCCCAATGGGGGACTGAACCTGCAGTCAGGGTATGTGCCCTGACCAGGAATCATACTTATGACCTTTCATTGCACAGGACAACCAGCAACCAACTGAGCCACACTGGCCATGGCTAATCTGCCTTTTTTTACACACACGGTCGTACTTGAGTGAAATTGCCAATTGCTGAAGCATTTATTTTCTTCCATGTGATAACTGTGACATTGTGGTCAAAGGACAGTTATTGAATTTCCAATCTCAAATGTGTAATTGAAAATTTTAATTATTTATCATGTGAGTATTTGCAAAAACATACATTACGTTGGTAATAATGACAGAAATGTGCATATCCAATAGATTGTCAGCATTACTCACAATTGTGAATTGTGTAGCTCATCTAAAATGTGTGCATTCTATATTTTGCTGAGAAAGACAGAGATAGAAAGTGAAAGGCAAGAAGGGAACGAGGAAGAGGGAGAGAGGCAACGAGAGAGAGAGAGAGAGAGAGAGAGAGAGAGATTCAGCTAAAAAAATGCTGGAGAATGATAATAAAGGAGTGGATCACAAACTGATCTGTATGAATAATTAATATTACATTTCAACCTGAAGGAATTTAATTGTAAATTATTTGTATTTACATATAAATACAGTAACTTACCAAATGCAATAACCAATAACTTTCAAAGTCTTTTTATTACAACTGATTTCATAAAATAAACTTTGTTAAAATTGTTATCCCCTAATGCATTCTTGCTAACAATATGATATCTCACCATTTATTTTAGTATTTTATAAAATAAGATATTCTACCGTTTCTTTGGCAACAGAGATGATGACTCATACAGATCTGACAGTGCGTTTAATACTTGTTTCTTTTTTTTCTTTTTTTTTTTTTTTTTTTTTTTTTTTTTGCTATGGAGAAGGCTCCCTGCTATTTCTTCCTTAAGATAAATGACAAAGCAATCCACCCAGACCCTGCCCCAAGCATGCCCCCTCTCCAAATAGTTCTAAATTACAGGGTGAAGTAAAGCCGTTTGAACTGAGACCTTGTTCAACGGAAAAGACCAGATAAAGTATATTTATTTATTATCTCCGTAATAAAATGTACTTAATTGTGAAAGTACAAATACTGACGGTGGCAACATTTATTGTTAAGAGAAAGGAATGATCTTTCTGATTCAAAATTTACTTCTATCAATGCATCTTTCTCTCTTTTGAAACTATATTATTGGTTGGAGTTTGGTAGTCCTTGTATCTACATTTATTGTTTCCCTAAGAATGTTATTTTATATTTCAGGAGTATACAATAGATGTGTTCTTCCGACAAAAGTGGAAAGATGAAAGGTTAAAATTTAAAGGTCCTATGAATATCCTTCGACTTAACAATTTAATGGCTAGCAAAATCTGGACTCCAGACACCTTCTTTCACAATGGGAAAAAATCGGTGGCTCATAACATGACAATGCCCAATAAGCTTCTTAGAATCCAGGACGATGGGACACTGCTGTACACAATGAGGTATGTTTGTAGGTTTGCTGTGATGCCTTTAAATACTGAGTAATTCATGTATTAAAAAACTGGCTATCCCGGTTATCAAGGTCAACATTAGCACAAGCCAAACATTGTCATAACAGGTTATTGTAGTAGTTATAATATACTTTGTAATTGCATGCACATTAAAAAATAAACATGGAATGATAGTTACGAGTTTGATTCTCATTTTAGTGTGTAAAATTTAAAGAATTGCCTTTACTATTAAGGATTAATTTTTGGCTCTTTATCTTTCACACTTCATTTTAATTAAGTACAGTTTAAGAGCATGACTTCATTTTTTCTTTATACCAGCATGTAATTTTATTTTTAATATCTCATTAGATAACCCATCAAAAAAGTTAAGTGATTTTTTAAGCAAGCTTTTACTTCATTTAATATTCTGTTTCTCTTTATGAAGTTATTTTAAAGAAAATTATATTTTTAAACTCAGTTTTTATTTACCAAAGCTTTGAAGTAAATTGGATACCTTACCAGGGGTCCTCAAACTTTTTAAACAGGGAGCCGGTTCACTGTCCCTCAGACCTTTGGAGGGCCAGACTATAATTTAAAAAAAAACTACTAACAAATTCCTATGCACACTGGACATATCCTATATTGAAGTAAATAAACAAAATGGGAACAAATACAATATTTGTATTTGCATGTGGCCCGCAGGCCGTAGTTTGAGGACCCCTGCCTTAGACATATGTCTTAGATGGAACCATATGAAATTGCCATTTTGTAAATCAAGAAGTGTCATGTAACATCAATTTCACTGATTCAACCTTTAGAAAAGTAGCTAAAGAAATATACAGGTATTGACACTATTATTCCATTTTAACTATTCCCATGAATTCATCTTTTAAAATGTTGGTATTATGTAAAAAAGAAAATCATCACAAATCTAATACAATAATGTATATTCTAAAATTAAATGTTTAATAAAGTCTCTGAAGCATGGATGACTTTCATCAGCATTACCCATAGACGGATGTGTCTTACAGGCATTTGATGTATTTATTATTTCATATGAAATGTTAAGTGGTAGATTTCAATTGTGAAAAATTATTTGAGAAGGGGCATTCATGCAGTCCTAATCTTTAAAGAAAAAGCTCTTTCGGGCTCATTACTAAATGACCATTACCTAAAATGAAAATGTTTTCTATTGTTTCCGCCTTTTTCTCTAAAATCTTGAAAAACAGAGGCAGTACTCCTGAAATTTTACACACTTTGATCATTCCTATGGATCAAACAATAATTGGAAATCTAGGTTTTAAACAAAATATAGAAAGAGAACACACATAGTTTTGGAAATACTGCCAGGGGTTATTCTTAATACTCTCTTAGAAGTATATAATCTATAATTAAATTGTTGATCACATTTGTTTTGCTCATTATAAGAGATTTTTCTGTATGTTTGATTTAGTTCATGTTTTATTGACTTTACCTTTGCCATGGAGTACTGAATAACTTAATTATAAATTTGCTGATTACTCTTTATTGTGATGAAGATACAGAAAAAAATTATATATAACATTCATAATTTAGCCAACAGTCTAGTCTCAACAAGCTATTTTTAGGAGATACATCTATATGTGCATCTGTACCTATTTCTATATTTATATTCATGAGTCTAAATATGATACTGATTCAAAGTTTATGTAATCTTGAGGGAAGTTCTTGTGAGCCAATATTGAATTCTATGTCAGCTTTGTTATATGGTTGTTGATGAGATGATGGGGAAGAAAATGACATTGTTTTCATTATAGATATTTTTTCATTTTTTCTCCAATATTTCAAATAGGAATGGTGAGGCTAATGGGAAAGTAGCCCTTCAAAATGCATATAGAACTTCTTTACTTTTTAACAAATCACAGACTAAAAAATGGTTAAGTATATTTGTAAGTAAATATTGTTACTTGAGCTCAGACTTTGTATATGGCTAATGTCTTCTGCCAAATCATCTAAATGTGATAGAACAGAATCAGGTTTCAATGTTAATTAACCAAAGATGCTATAATGAAAGTCCTACCTCATCATTAATTTTGTTGACAACAGTAAGGAGTGATCTATCCTGACTTGCCAACTTATTTAAACAAAGAGTGGGATTTTGACTTTTAGGCTTACAGTTCAAGCTGAATGTCCAATGCATTTGGAGGATTTTCCAATGGATGCTCATTCATGCCCTCTGAAATTTGGCAGCTGTAAGTATGGGATTGGAGTTACATTTTTGGGGTAAAAAATAGCAAGGGTAGTCAACTACACTGCTTAATGTTATAGCTTCTTCTCATATTATGCAATGCTTAATACTTGCCAGGTAGGATGCAGAATTAAAAGGCATGCTGAGTTCCATCACAGAACTGGCTAACCTTATTGTACTCCCAAATAGCATTATATTTGAATCATGGTGTTTCATTATCATTTACATTATTGCTAATAAAAAAAATTATATGTTTGCCTAAGTGTGTAAGCTAGGTTAGGAGCTCCTTGAAGATCAGGACCATGACATTTACCTTATTTGCCAAATACTAGCACATTAGAAATGCAGCATCATTATAAAATGCTCCTGCACAGTAAAAGAAAGCAGCAACAAAATGAAAAGGGAGCCTACTGCATGGGAGAACAAATTTGCCAATGACACATCTGATAAGGGGTTCATTTCCAAAATGGATAAGGAACTCATACAACTTAACAAAAGGAAGACAAACAATCCAATAAAAAAAATGGGCAAAGGATCTAAATAGACACTTGTCCAAAACAGACATAAAAAAGGCCAAGAGACATATGAAAAAAATGCTCAAAGTCCATGACAATGCAAACTGAATGTTTGATTTTTGTCAACTAAGGATGAATTCTAAGGGATAAATTCTATTGTTTATTAAAGTAGTTATCAGCCTGTTGCAAATGGCAGGCACAGATGTTGGATCTATGCAATTATCTTTCTGCTTTCTAACTAATGGAAAGTGTTTTGTTTTGTTTTTTTTCTCTCTTATTTTCTTAAAATAAATTTGAAGGAGATGCTGTCGCTGGATTGCTACATGCAGGCTCCTTCTGTGTACATAGAATAGTTCAGAAATGGCTCCGTGCATTTGACCTTCTTTAGGTCACTGAGGTGATAGCTTGTATGTCAAGCAGAAGCATTTGCTCTCCCGGAATAATTGAAAAGAGGGAAGGTCAAGTCATCTCCCTAGGCCCACGAGCATTCAGGGCAGGTTCAGTATCAATTCAGGGACACTACTAAAGAGCCTCTCTCTGTGGGAACGTGTCCCATTGCCTGATCTTTTCAGAAATTTTGCTCTTTCTGGCACCCCTATCTTTGCCCATCCAGGTTAGCTTTTGACTTTTCCTCCTCGTGAATAGAAATGCAGTTCTCTAACATGATTAAAAATATTTCTGACTGAGCAGTTGCCTTCTCCCTACAGATTGTACCAAGAAAAGGGAAGAATGATGGCATGTATGAATGACAAAGCCTCTAATTATTTTGATGACCGTAGTTTTGTGGAATAAGTTCAATTTTGTTTTTTTCTGTCCATTCCGACAAAAAGTGTCAGCTCTCAATTTTCTTTGAGAATCTCTTCTTTGTTTAACTACAAAGCCTTCCTTTATTGTCATGGAAACCACCACTTCAATCCTGGCATTTTTCCCAAAATTATTTAAGATAGTCAGTCATGTTACACAACGTAAATATGATGTTGAAAAAACTCAGCAGATGCGGCGGAGGAAAGCTCATTTGCATTGCATAAGTGGCATTAAAGAGAACATTTTCAAAAGCCTTGATACCAAATAAAGGGTTTAGTCATGATGCAGTAATGCTGGAAGAAGGAAAGGCATTTTCAGTGGACAAGTAAGAGCTAGTAAGACACCAAATATAACTGAGGTGACGTTACCATTCTGACTATGAAATAAATACACCTGAAATTATTTTAAGTGAAAACAACAAACTCTTAGCAGTGTTTCTACAGAGTAGTGGAATAGTGCATGCTGGAGAATATGGTTGTCTGTATCTAGAAGCGATATGGGCAAAGCATAGAGTTTGTTGCTAGGCATTCTCTGTTTAATTGTTCTTAGGTAGTTTTCTTCATGTTTATTTTTGACACAGTAAATAGTCTTTTATTTATCCTTGCCAATGGTAGGCACTTGATGCATAAATGTTAAAGGAATGAACACCAGAATGTGGACGTAGACTCACAGGCCAACCTGAACTGTAAGACGTTGGCACAACAAATGTGGCAGAAGCAAGTCATGCCCTTTGCCTGTCTTCTTCCAAAGCCCTTTTGTTTTCCCCCCAAATGATGGGCTTTCTGGAACTTGATCATTGTTCTGAAGTAAAAGAAGCATCTTTTCTATAAGTTTATACTTTTGAATTTGGTTTTTCTCCCTATTACCTCATATTGTTATATATGCCCTCCCTGAATGGGCATCTCAGTGTATTCTGTGCATTAGCCCAAAATAAATGGAAAGTTGTCTTTTTGCACAAAAATTAGTTAAAGACTATCTAGGGATTTTGTTGGTTACCAACTACTAAGAATTAGTATGCATGTGATGTTAGATATACAGTAGCACTGAAAATGAGCTATTTAACAGAATTAAATAAAATTATTTAAAGAAAATCTAGAGAAGGAATTTATAATGAAATTTGTAATATAAATTGTCCTTATCTCCTTTTATAGTTTCCTGAGAAACGTTGCTATGGCCTCCTGGTTTAGATGTGTGTTAGTGTACCAGGGCGTGCCTCTATTCCTCACTGCACAACTTTCTGCTATGACTTCTGTCTCCAGACTCCAAATTAAAAACAAAAACAAAAACACCCACATATTTCTATACCACTAATGAAATAATCTCTTTTGTATAGAAGACATGGGAAGGATCAGTCATTTTCTTTAATAGATTATTGTGTTCCTATCCAGATTTTTATATTTAATAATAAATAACAATCGAAACATTATGAGCATATTTATTAATCTGGCAAGAATGAATTGAAAACTTTTGTGTGTGTCAGGCATGGTACCAAGTGCTGAAAGTATAAATGTGACTCAGATAGAGTTCCTGCCCATCTATGTCTCACTAGGGTTTCATTTCCTCTTAGTTATATTTAAGAGTAGCATCAGACTCAAAAGCAAAGTTGCAATTACTTTAAAAAAAGTTTATAATGTATTAAGACTCACAACTATTTGAGTCTTGCTTTCTGATACTCAAATATCAGAAAGGCTTTCTGATATAAAGTAGTACAAGTGATGTGTCTTTGATTTATTAAATTCTGTGCCATTTGAATTTTATTGTATATATATATATATATATATTCATGAGAGAACAAAACAAGCTACTTGATAATTTGCAAATGAATTGCTAGTTATCCACATTACTGATGTTACGTATCTAATCTTAGCAGTCATCAATGGTGAAATATTTAAAAATTAAAAAAATTGAACCTTAAAATAAGTAGAATTTATTCATATGTAAACTCTATAACTATATCTCTACTATTAAATACACTTATACAGAAAGATATATATAGAGATATATAAAATCCTATTTCAAAAATTATGTAATATGATTTATTGTGCATGTAGATGAATACATGTACAATGAAATCAGTGTTTAACAGATATTAACATTTACTAGTGACATTCAGAAAACTATTAAAAGACCACACCAAGATAAAGATTCAAACTTATATTCTTTTTACTGCTACTGAAGTTTAAATGCAGATGGATTTATGATCCGAAACTTTGGATCAAGGTGAGGACCACCACATCCTGAATAGTTAGAGACAGAGATGTTGGCAGAGACAGCTGGTCCTTTCTCTCCCTTCGTTGAGAATGTGAGCAGGGTGGTGAGTTTAGCAGCTCAAGGTTTAGAAGCAATTGAAACGGCTGGTCCTTTCTGTTAATTGAGAATGCGACCATGGCACTGAGTTTTGCTCAAATACCAGAGGTGACTAATATTTCAAAACATTCTCATGAGCAAAAGTGCATAGAATTTCTTCACAAGGTCAGTGGAGGAGCAAGAGTTATCTGTTTATTCAATTGTGGAGAGACTGCCTGCAAAGAGAGCTCAGCTGCTCCCCCACCAGGACATACAGGAGCAAAGGCAATGCCAGGGTCATGGGACAGCTAAGATAAGGCATGCTGCCTGCCCTCCGGTTCTAGAGTCATCTCACTTGTGCTAAATTCTTCCTTGGCCAAATAAAACAGGAAATTATACCTGGTCTGTATGTCTTTAGTCTTTTCTTACCAATCCATACCTTACCTGGAAGGCGATGAAAGTAGAGTCCAGTGAGATCTGGGTGTATAAATTAATTTTAAAATGAAAATGTTGCATTAACCGGTTTGGCTCAATGGATAGAGCATCGGCCTGCGGACTGAAGGGTCCCAGGTTCGATTCTGGTCAAGGGCATGTACCTTGGTTTTGGGCACACCCCCAGTAGGAGGTGTGCAGGAGGCAGCTGATCGATATTTCTCTCATCGATGTTTCTAACTCTCTATCCCTCTCCCTTCCTCTCTGTAAAAAAATCAATAAAATAAAATAATAAAATGAAAATATTTTAAAAAGCATTTACAACTTGAGGAAATTATATCATTCTCATTTATTTTACATGTTTTGCAATAATCAGTCCTCACCTTTCTAATGAAATGCATTGTATCATGTATGATAGCTGTCACTTAATTCTTAATGAAATTTATGTCTAGAAAGCAATATTATTTTGGATTATGATTGTCATTTCATGAGTGAGTGTTATTTCTAAACTAATGACCTGAGCCATGGCATTCATAATCTGTTTGCCACAGTGACCTATACCACCGGGAGGCTATGGGAGATGTTTTTATTATCACAAGGCCCACTGGTTTCTGCAGACTCTAAGGATAAATGTGTGCTTTACCCCTCAAAGTGGTAGCAAAGAAAATAGTCTCATGATCTTGTTTGTCTCTCTTTATTTGCTTCACATCCTTCATATTGAAGCTGTAAATTTCAAAGGCACGTTTTACCCTAAAAAATATGATCTGTAAATATTATCAATGACTTATTTTAGTCAACAATTGCTCTATGAAATATACAACTTTTGATGTTGCACTTTACTGATGGTTCTTACTAAAATGATAAAACAGATCTTTTTTCTGATCTCCTACAGATGCATATACAACCTCAGAGGTCACTTATATTTGGACTTACAATGCATCTGATTCAGTACAAGTTGCTCCTGATGGCTCCAGGTTAAATCAGTATGACCTGTTGGGCCAATCAATTGGGAAGGAGACAATTAAGTCCAGTACAGGTTAGTAAAATGAGTCTAAAGAAAAGTTACCGTAGTTAAGAAAATTAATGGGTTAAAGTAATTGGAAATGACCCAGTTTGATTAAAACCTTTTGTTCTTTAGGTCCAAGAGCTAGCATTATAGATTGTGCATGGGTTGTTTTTTTTGTGTGTGTGTGTGTGTGTGTGTTTTTTAGAAATTCAGAATCTCAGGCTTGACCCCTTATAAATTTAGGATCTCTACTTTAACAAGATTCCAAGGGGATTCCTTAGGTGTGCATTAAAGTTTGAGAAACACTAGTCTAAAATATACTTCATATTAAAGTGTGTATCTTCTCAGTCAAGTCAATTTTACCTTCAAATAGCGTTACCGCTCCTTTAGTGTTCCAATGCCTTTCCCTTTATTTTAGATATTTCAGCTCTTGATTACAGATCACTACTATTGGCCTATGTGAGGAAGCTGATGTCCTTTCTAAAGGGCTCTCTCCTCTAAGAAAAGGCAGCTGTGTGGCTAATGCGCTTCCATCCAGCAGATGTAAAACCAGGGAGCAGGAAGGAAGGCAGTGAGGGTCAGATAGAACTGACTATGGAGAATGAGAGCAGAGATACAACATTGAGAAAATCAGAACTGGTGACAGGGTCGGCAGTGGGAAATCTGGGCCAGAAGATCAGCCTTGGAGATGTGGCTAGCGATCAATCTTTAAGAAAACAGAGAGACCTGAACTTGAGGTTGGTACCGGTGGGGATGAGGGACCTGAGAGCATTGATTAATCCTGTACTCCTTTGGTCAATAAGTATGACCTAGAGAGAACATCAAATGCCATACCATAGACATGCTGAGCAAGTTGCTTGGTAATATTAAAATCCTCTTTTAAATACTCTTGCTGAGCTAAGGAGGCATTTAAAAATTATAAACTTCTCATGTCATATATGTGATAAAGGCTTTTTTTTTTTTCAAATCAGAGACTGTTCTTTCTCTAATCTATTCTATTTTCATTTCCAAAATGTGCGAACTATTGCCTATTCCAGTTCCTTAAACTTCTTACCTTATTTTTCTAGGTGAATATACCGTAATGACAGCTCATTTCCACTTGAAAAGAAAAATTGGGTATTTTGTGATTCAGACGTATCTGCCTTGCATCATGACTGTCATTCTCTCCCAAGTGTCATTCTGGCTTAACAGAGAATCTGTGCCTGCAAGGACAGTATTTGGTGAGTGAATAACTACACGCTTCGCTGTACAGCACGTTATGTTTCATTGCGTACTTTCAAAAGCATTCTCTCTCTTGGCACTCACACCAACAGTTTGTAGTGTGGGGGGCAGCGGGTATTTGCTTCATGTTACAGATGAGAAACTGAGGCTCAGAAGGTAAGTTACAGAGTCCTTGATGCTCATCTATAATAATAAAACCATAACATGCTAATTAGAACAAATATCTTTCCGTATGTCCTTCCAAATGACATACTGGACAAAGCCAGGGCTGGGAGGGAAGCCCGGGTCCTGGGTGCCAGAGGGAAGCCGGTGCTGGCAACTGGAGGAAGGAAGGCCTACTCTTGCACAAATTTTGTGCACTGGGCTTCTAATAAGGAATATGAAGAGTACTCAAATCTTCTGGAAGTACATTCAATCTACTTTCTGTTGAATCATTTTGCTTCTCGACATTTGTCTCTATGTTAGTATAAAGAGAATATTGTTAGAAGTTTTAACTTAGAGAAGAACAGTACCACATTTATAGACTCTGTTTATTTTTTTTGTTTGTTTTTAGATAAACAAAGATGATCTTAGGACTGTAAGTTAGAGAGTAAAAGAGGTAAAGAGACTCATCTCATATACTACATTAGTGTGTTTACTTGCGTATTTAATTTTCTTTAAAAAAATTTTACGTATGTTTATATTTAGTCCACACCATATTTCCAAAAAGATGTGAGATACCTTAAAATGTATAAACAAGAGATTGTAAATACACTTTTACATGATGCAAAGAAAACTAAAGGCCGAAAAATAAAATAAAAGCAGAGATAGGTTATGTTGCCTGAAAGACTAGGCATAATTAACCAATATTAGAGATGAGGAAACTGTGATGAGGAGAGCATAAATAACCTTTCCAAGTAAGATTAGGCTGGGACCCAGAACTAAATTTACTAACTTTTAGCCTAGCACTCCCTTCTGATGCACTAGATGCCAGGCAGGAGAGACGCAGAGAAAGCAGGATGGTTCATTGTAAGCTTTTTTGTCTTGAGGTTCAATTTCTTCTGCTGCTTGCTGGCTCCCCAGTGCCCCTGCCAGAGCTGATGCCGTCATCCACTGCCCCACCTCATCCCCACTGAGTCTCATTAAGACTCGCTTCTTAAATAGCATAGTCATTCTATGCTTTCATCATGAAAATCACCCAATTGGGTTTTTAGGTCCCTCACGGACTATTTCTTGGCCAACTAAGGACCAGCTGAGGCAAATCATGGACTGAAGAACATAATTTTAGGGAATGATGTTCTGGCCTCAGTAAAATAAATATCCTTCTGATAACAGGCCTTTCTCTACCCAGAGTGGGCTGGGTGTGTGAGGGGAGGCATGGGTGGGTAGCAGGCTGCCATCTCTGCAGCAGTTCCCATATGGGTTTTTTTTTAAATACATTTTTATTGATTTCAGAGAGGAAGGGAGAAGGAGATAGAAACATCAATGATGAGAGAGAATCATTGATTGGCTGCCTCCTGCAAACCCCACACTGGGCATCAAGCCGCTACCTGACCAGGAATGGAACTATAATCTCCTGGTTCATAGGTAGATTTTCAACCGCTGTGCCAACACCCCCCTACTCCCCCCTCCTGTCCTGGGCCCCATACAGGTTTGGTGCCCACTTGTCAGGGGCAGGCTAGCCAGGGGTCTCCTTGGCCTCTACTGGTTGGATCAGATGTCTCTGATCTGCTTCCAACACCTCCAGATTTTAGGGAGACTTTTATATTGGTGTTTTCTCACAGACTTTTACTCTGCATAAATATAACATAAGTAAATGGATATTAACTTAAAAACCAATTAGGTACATTTACACAATGGACCACAACTTGGAGGTACAAAAGAAAGAAATCCCACCACCTACAACAGCATGGATGGGTCTGGAGAGCACCCCACCAAGAGCAATAAGCCAGCAAGAGAGAGACAAGACCCCACGACCCCACTCATGCATGAGATCTAATGAACAAAACAAGCAATAAACTCATTAAGGCTCTTCCCATTCCAGACCATAAAGTATTTCCCCCCTTATTATTAGACTTATCGTGGAAATGGCCATGCACTAGTAGATGCCTGTGGCAGTCAGGCCCCTGTGGCTGCCTCTCCAATAATTCCCAGCTGAGTCGTTGCCTCTGGCGATAGTAGCTCCTCTAGAGACAGTGCTGGGCGGGGTTGCTGCCAGTCATGATAGAAGCTACCTCTCCCCACAGAAGCTGCCTGTGGAATAGTGTCTTCCTCTTGTGATGCTGGCTGCCTGGTATGAAAGTGGCTGCCTCTCTCGTTGGTGCCTCTGATGATAGCTCATTGGTAGAGCCTTTGGCTGAAGATCAAGAGAGCTCCGGTTCAAATGTAATTTTCTTCATTTAAACCAAGCAGGAAAATTTGGTGACTGCTCTTCGGATATGTGAGCTAGGCTCCGCACATTTTGTGATAGGATAAATTACTTTTCTGTATTTGGATCACTCAGTCATTTACAAAAGTTTCTCTGAGGATCTGCTGTGCCAGATACTGCACCAGGCCTTGGAGTGGAGGGCAGCAAGATAAGCCGAAAAGATCATGGCATGGCAAGGTGAAGGCACTGTAAGAGGCATGTGCAAATTGTTACAGAAAACAGCAGCTTAGATCTAGAAGAATTGATTCAGTAGCTGAGATAACATTTGAGCTAAATCTTGAAGGAAGAGTAGGAGATTCCCAGACAGATGAGCTGGGGCAAGAATCCTAAGCCAAAACTGACAGATTGTGTAATGACATGACATCAAGGAGTGAAAGAACATAGTGTGTTTGGTGACCGTGAGTGGTTTCAGTGTCCGTTGAGATACATACAGATGGAAGTGTATAAGAAAGTGTGTAAGTCATGTCAATACAAGTTATCTTTATCTTATAAGCTATAGGAAACCACCATAGATAGTGTTTTGAGAAGATAGACATGTGTAAAACTCTTAGAACAATCTTGGTATTTAATACAATCTATATTAGCTAGTCTTATTCTAAATGCAAAAAATCAGTTTGATTCTCAACAATGAATAATTCAAAAGGAAATTAAGAAAATAACCCCATTTACAATAGCATCCAAAATAATAAAATACCTAGGAATAAATTTAAGCAAGTAGCTGAAAGACCTGTTCACTTAAAATTATAAAACTTACTGAAAAAAATTAAAGAAGACCTAGTTAAAGGTAAGATATCCCATCGTCATGGATTAGTAGACACTACTGTTAAGATGAGAATAGTCCTCAAAGTGATATATAAATTCAATTCAATAACTATCAAAAGTCAAAAATGACCTTTTTTTACATAAAGGGCAAAAGCTGATCCTCAAATTCATATCCAACTGCACGGGGGCTCTAAATAACCAAAATAATATGTTTTTTAATTTTTTTAATTTTAATTTTTTATTGTTGACACTATTTCAGAAGCCTCTATTCCTCCTCCTCCCCTGACAATATTAATAAATTAAAACAAAGTTGGTGGACTTTCCAGTTTCAAAACTTAGTATGAATCTACCTTAATCAACAGTGTCTTAGTGGCATAGTCATGGGCATATAGATCAATGGGATAAAACCAAGAGTCCAGTAACAAACTCAAATATATATATGGCAAATTGATTTTCAACAAGGGTGCTATGAACATTCTATGGATATGTAGAGGTCTCTTAATCAAATATTGCTGAGACAGTTGGAAGACCATCATATGTAAAAGAATGAAGTTGGAACCCTACCCCACTCCAGATTCAACAATACACTCCAATGGATACAAAACTTTCATGTGACACCTAAAACTATAAAACTATTAGAAGAAAACATAGGATAAATCTTTATGACCTTGAATCCAACAATGGTTTCTTAGATTTGACACAAGAAGCATGAGTAACAAAGAAACAATAGAAACATTTAATTAAGTTAAAAATGTTGTACCTCAAAGAACATTGTCAACAATGTGAAGAGACAACTTACATATGGTTGAAAATGTTTTTCAAATCATGTATCTGACAAGGATTTCATATCCTGAATAAATAAAGAATTCTTACAACAACAACAACAAAAAGACCAAAAACTAGATTTCAAAAATAGACAAAGAATTTGGACTTTTTACAAAAGAAAGTATATGAATGGCAAACCAGCACAATAATTAAAAACAGAGAAGAAAAGGACAGAATTGATATTCCAGAAAGACCCAAATTTATATGTAAATGCATGACAAGTCAGACAAAATAAAATAATAAGTTACTTGTTTGGACAATGTGAGGAAAATAAAATTCCATTGAGGTAAATAGAGATTTTGGAGCATGAAGCACATAGATGAATATGCTAAAAGGAGCAAGTAGAGGACTCTACCTGTCTGTAGAGGAGAGTTAAATAGAAGAATAAGTATTTAACTTTGAATCAACAGAATGTGTTAGCATCAAGGCTGCTAGGTTTATCTACAACAAATGTGCAAATTTTTATATAAATTATTTATAATATAAGTTTAAGGGTCAAAAAGTCATATTTTCATGCAAATTTAGGCTGTTAGATAGTAAAATTATCCTTAGTATTTTCTCTGCAAGTTATTCTGTGTAAACTTGTAATAAACATAATTCCATGTGACGTGTGTGTGTGTGTGTGTGTGTATGTGTTCAAATAAAAGATAAACACAAATTTTATTTTCTGTTTAGAATGGGATTTGAAAGATGCTTGTCTGAGCTCCCTTTTTCTACAACCGTATTCCTTTCTTTATTGTTTTCTTTCTCCTTTTGAGCTTGAATATCATCATCTGACTGATAGATGGCTGTTACCTAAGCAACATTTCTATTTTCTCCAAGATTCTCTCTCTAATTTCCCAGTCATGTTTACAAGCTCATGAGAGATCACTGAATCACCTGCCCTCCTCTGCCTCCAAGGCTTTCTGTGATGAGTAACCCACCCCAGGAAAAAAAACTATTACCGTTAAGAAATTAATATGCTCTGAGAGACAGATGTCAAATTTCTCAACCTTTGAGGTCTGG